TTGACAGATCATGCTTAAAATTATTTTAAGGCTTCTGCATATATGTCTATTTGTCATGTAATGATTATGCTAGAAAAGCCGGGAATGCGATTGCAGTAACTCTGAGATAGAAACCCCTTGATTACTCATCCACAATAGAAAAGCCCTGTGGAAAAAATGGCACCCAAGAGATTACTTGGATTTGTATATTTCTTCAGGCAAAGTTTACAGACCTGTAAATTTAAATGTAGAATTTTTGTGGGCAGAATGCATTGACAAATATGCCTGATGGTAATACATCTCCTACTGATAGTCCCAGAACAGGTCAATAATAATGCTTATATTGATAGCAGCAATGCAGGAGATGTTACTTGGTATTATAGCTAAAATCCATGTTATCCCCTTAATTATAATTACATTAATATTGGCAGGCTGTTGACAATACTCACATTACTATTGATAGATTTCTGTCAATAACATGTTTCCAAATAAAATATATTCATTCATAATTTCTACATTGCTCAATAACAGCACTAATATATACCAGAAGAAATTCCTTTTCTCCTAGTGATATACAGTATTTTTTTTTGTACTGTACACATGGGCTTGTTTATTTCTTTGGTAAAAAAAGACAAAACAAACAAAATATAGGTTATTTAAGAAAGGAACATTTTAGGGTTTTTCAGGTTTTTTGTTTTCTTTGGTTGGGTATTTTTGTGGAGGTTTTTTTGTTTTGTTTGTTTTTTTCTGGCAGGCAGTTTGGTTGGGTATTTTTGGGGGGTTTTTTTTGTTTTGTTTGTTTTTTTCTGGCAGGCAGTTTTTTGTTTGTTATTTTTTCTGTGCAATATCTTTGACAGTACAAAGGGAGAACCTTACAAGTACCAGTCTTTACTATTTAAAGAGTATTTATGTAAAAGATTCATCACGCATTGAGTTCATTGTATATCTGAATGTTGATACCTGCCCCTTTCCTTACTGCACCTATGATTTTGGGTTCTTATGTTTTGAAAGTGACTTAAAATAAGAGTTAAAACCGTAAGGATGACAAATAGAATTTAATGAAAAAACATGGAAGAAAACTAATGTTCTCTATATTCTGTGTAGCTCAGCAAAATATATAATGCAAAAATAACATTTTAAAAAGTACAAGATAAATGTCTAAGCACTTACAGGGTTGTTTTTATCTAGTTTTAAGCTACTATAGTTCCCATTTATTTCTACTGTGATACTGTTGTGTGCGAAAACAATATAAACTGAAAAACTACAAATTTCTAAAAGGACTTTGTATAGAAGTAATTTTTAAAGGAAAATTTCCTACCATAGCAAAATTGAGATTAATATTTAGGGCTCTTCTCTCAAAGAAACAGTTGCTCTTATTCAGATCATTAGGACATTTGAAGACAATTTCATAGGACAATGCAGATTTCAAACTGTCCCTTTTAATATTTGCCTATGGGAAATAAATATCTTCCCTTTAAGTGCAATAAAATGTTAGATCAATTTAGAAGAAAGCAGAGTGGATAGCAGAACACTAAGCACACAGAAATGTGCTTACACATTAAAATCAGAAGTATATGGATATAATCTTTAGGTAACTTGCAGGGTCCAGTCAGCCATGGCCTATGGCAATCTTTAATTGTTCTTAGCAGGAAAGAACTTCAGAACAATGCACAGATTTATTGCTTGAATTGAGAATATTTAATTTTTCATCAAAAAGAAAGCTTTTCTTTTTTTTTTTCTGCATAGCTATGTTACAAGCATAATTTAAAAGATAGCATATTTATTGTTGTTTGTTATTCTTCCTTTTCCACATAGTCTGCCTAAACGTGACTCAAAGTTCAATCAATTTGATAGTTGGTAGTTCAGGAAGAGACATTAAACATGACACCATTAAACAGTATATATCGTGTTGGTTCTGATTTTTTTAAAAGAAGACTTGTTGGATGTGGCAAAATTTCAAAGGTTAACAAACAGCAGTTGTGCTGTTTGGGCGTGTTGTCTCAAAAGTGGTTCCCATTTTCTGTATACAAAGTTCCAGTGCATTCTGACAGATTCAATGAAATTATTTTCTTCAAATACAGTTCTGTGTAGGATGATGGACATGCAAAAAAAAAAAAAAAATTAGATTCTGCAGTGAGGCAATGGGAAGGTCAAGCTCCAAGTCCCAGAGAAGATTTTAGTCTGCTCTCCTGTGAAAACTGGGAATAAATTAATTGCTAAAACAGGTAGGTTCTAGCATCATTTGGTCAAGTTTCAAGAATTTCTGAGCAAGAAATTTCAGTCTTGGTAGACAAAATGTTCCAGCTTCCTTGATTCCAATTGGAATTTCTTGTGTAGTGACTTACAGTCACACAGTTGCATGTCTTTATTTCATTGCATCTCAGAGAAAACTTTGGCATAATATTCTCTGCAACCCTTAGGAAGCAGAAGATTATTCATAGACCATTTCTTAGCTGCCTTATCGTTCAAGTTGAACAATCTGAGTTCCTTCAAGCTCTTCTCATATATCAGGACCTGAGGTTCCCTGATGGTAATAGTTACAGGACTCTTTTCAATTTGTTGACATTTCTTTTGTACTATTCATAGAAAAGAGGCTAAACTGGACTTAGTATCCCAGGTGTAGACTCACCAGTGCTATGTGGAGGGTAATAAGCACATTTTTCAGTCTGCCGGGTGTACATATTCTAATGTGCTGCAAGGATGCTCTGGTGGCTTGTGTTCAGTGTGCTGCCTGTTCCCACATGCTCTTTTTCAAAGCAGGTATGCAGTCAAACAGGCTCCCAGCCTATGTGTATTTCATGATCCATCTTAATCCTGTGGATTTGACGCATTTTCCTTCATCTTCAGAAAATTCCTGATGACCCATTCTTCACTTGCTCCAGTTTCTTTAGATAATACAGCTATAATGCGAGAAAAAAAATCTGTAAATATTTAGTCTACCTTGTTTATGAGAAACTTACAATAGAAGTTGCTCATAGCACCTGCAGTAATGAAAACCAGTTGGAAAAGATGGTTGAACTGATGTTGGAAAATAGTCTTAGTAGGTGGATCAAGGAAGTTATTTGATAAGATGTCCCTTTTGAGTAACTGGCATGTTTAGAGGAGGTTTTGTGTGTGAAATGAGTAGAAGAAAAAGAAGACATTATACTTTTAGGAGTTATGAATGAATAACCAGTGACAGGTTCCAGAACAGGTGGTTATCAAAGGCTCTGGTTCCTAAAATGATAGTGGAATGAAAAGATGAGGAGGGTGGATGGTCATTGGTGCTTGTGTTTTTGAAGTGATGCAGCAAAATCCAGTAGGGGGTTGAATTGACCTTTCAATCATAAATTAGAGGAGGGAAGTTATTTGGATCGTGCTGGAAAATGTTTCCTGTGCTTTGGTTTCTGCTACAGAAAAGGCTAAGTGTGAGGGAGACAGACTTGGTATACAGCCTTTGTGTCCTGGTTTTTCCAGCCGGTGTGGGTTCATGCAATGAACCCTATGGCTGTTTGCCAAGAGGAGGTAGCACTGTACTACCTTCAGCCATGTTTTGCCTGCTGATAAAGAAGGAGGAGTTTAAAAAAGGTGAGTGGAGCTATTGTATGCTCTACCCTTGTAGCAGTCTTAGTTAATTGGAAACTACTGTTGTACACCCTACACTAAGGACAAAGTCATATTTTCTTGCAGTGATAACTAATTATAAATGTGGAGGACGGCAGGAAAGCTGCAGATGATGTTTGATATTGTGTTTTAAAACTTCCGGGGTGTTATTTTTCAGCAAATATGGTTGTTTGTTTGAAGGTTTGGGGTTTTTTTTTTTTTGTATTCTTGGCATCATTAGCAACCATTGCTACCAAGAGCCTCTACAGCATCTTTTACTCACAGTAATCTTGTATGGTTATTTTTCTCTTACAAATAAGAATTTGGGGCACTACCTCCTATAATTTTGCCAGAAGGCTGTGGACTCCTTGCAGGTCTGTTATGCAAAGAATCTGGTTTAGAAAGTGAAACATGTTTCATACTGTCTGAAAATACTTCTGAATTACTTTGGGGTTTATTCTGTTGATAAAAGGAAGCAAAAATTGAATACCCCACAATTTTGCATTGTAGTGTTACCTGTATTTTCTTTGGCAATTTACTGCATTTATTTCTCAGCCAGACTTCCAGATGCAACAACATTTAAAAGAAGCCGTGTTCAATTTTTTTTTTTTTTCCTATGATGCTTGAACAAGGGGAGTATACATTTGTTGACGTTGCTAATCATCTTGCCTGGAAATGTTATATAACAAGTAGCACAATCCCACACCTGTCAAAAACACTCTAGAAAATATATGCAGACTGCAGTGAAGTACTGTATAATAATTTATGTCTGAATGCTGAATATTTCTTAAATCTCATATGATTTTTCTCTAAATAACTCACTGCCTTTATTAAGAAAATTTTATTCATTCCCACCTTAATTTTCATCCATATCTTTATGTAATTCCTAATTTTGTCTATATTTCTATAGTTTTGCTTTCAGCTGTAGCAATTGAAGTGTTCATATGGCAACACTTGGTCTGTTCTTTTCCAGATTTTTTGGTTAGTGTTTCATTCTCTGTAAAACACCATATAGTGTTGCAGTTCTTCTTTCTGATCTATTTTAAGGTTCAATTGAATATTACAATTATGCCGTGCAGTATTTTTAAATGTATATATACATTTATTGGTATGTATATATAAATCTGTGGATTTTTCAGACTATCTAGATGATGTTGAACACTTGTTTATAACCAAATGTTAACTGTGTGTGAGAAATGGTCAAGCATAATTTCTTCTGAAAATAAGATTTTAAACTAATTTAAATGTGTACTAATTTTATATTAATGTAAAGCTACCTGAAAGGAATTGTGGCATATTAATAACATATTTATAGAGCATTCTGAGAACTTTGTTGTTTCTTGTCTACTGCTGGTATATTACAAGTTTGTTATTTTTAATAAAAAATAGAAATAGGAAATGCTCCACTATACTAAAATCTATTTGTGTTTTGTTTCTAGAAAGTTTATTTGTGAAGATATGGCCTCCAGCATTGGAAATGAAAAGAGTGTGAATCCTGTGCTCAGAATAAGTCAGCTTGATGCTCTTGAACTAAACAAAGCCCTGGAACAACTAGTGTGGTCCCAGTTTACCAGCTGTTTTAATGGATTTAAACCAGGGGTGTTGGCTCATTTTGAACCAGAAGTAAAAGCATTTTTATGTCTTATATTATGGAAATTCACTATCTATTCCAAGAACGCAACTGTGGGACAGGCTATTCTCAATATTCAGTACAAGAATAACTTATCTCAGACAGAGAAATACCAACCTCTGAGCAAACACCAGAAGTTATGGTATCTTATTTTCACTGTTGGTGGAAGATGGTTGGAGGAAAGATGTTATGATTTATTCAGCAATCGTCAACAGCAATCTTTCTGCAAAATTAAGAGCTGTATAGGTTTTGGGTCTGGACTTCTTAAGCTTTGTGGACTTGTAAATTTTCTGATTTTTCTTCGGAAAGGAACATTCGCAACACTTACAGAACGCATTCTAGGAATTAGGTCAGTTTTTTGCAAGCCGCAAAATGTTCGTCAGATAGGATTTGAATACATGAACAGGGAACTCTTATGGCATGGCTTTGCTGAATTTTTGATATATCTGCTACCACTCATTAATGTACAGAAACTGAAACTTAAAATTTCCTCTTGGTGCTTACCTATCACAGGTCTTTCCAATAGTGAAAACACATTAGCAGCTCACTGCAGGGAATGTTCACTGTGTGGGGAATGGCCTACCATGCCACATACCATAGGCTGTCCACATGTTTTTTGTTACTACTGTATTAAAAGTAACTTCTTATTTGATATGTATTTTACATGTCCTAAATGCGGCTCAGAGGTACACAGTCTTCAGCCATTGAAGCATAAAATTGAAATGACGGAATTCCATATCTGATACGAGGTTGATTTAGTTTTATACTGTACATGATAGATATCAAAGAGATTAACAGAAGAATTCAGAAATTATTGAAAGCAGACTGCTGAAAGATGCTTTTGGGGACTCTGTAATTTATATAACATGTATTTTTACTGGTCTTAGGTTTTTATTGAGTAACAGTGCCATAATGCCCTACTCACTTGGCAGGTTAGGGGAAGGTAGTTGGATTTACTCTGGGTGGCGTGTGGGAGAAACAACACCAACATTCTCAGGAGGTTCAAGACTTGCAAACTTTAGAACATTCTATTTGAATAAGGCATTTAGCAAACTTTGATTTAGCAACCTTAAACTTACCCAGACACAGTGCCATTACGAACTTACCTAGTAGATGGATTAAGTGGGAAAGTTGTTCTTTCATGCCTAAAGAATAATTTTAAATTTGAATTCCCAATATGATGTTACACTAAAAAAACCCAAAGGTATAAATAATGTTTAAGGAAAACAGTGCATGCAGCTTCTAGACCTGAGATGACAACTAGTTTTCTCAGGCAGATATGTCTCTGAGCTTCAATTAAATATATACTGTCTTCCCTCAGAACCTGAGGGATGAAACCCATCATCCATTGGAATGTGGCAGATATTCAGGGTAACCCACATTCTTCTGAGTTGGAGACACTGAATAAAACTGTTCACTCACAAGATTCTGTCTGTAGGAATTGCCACTTGTGGTTTTTTGGTGTGGTCTAGGTCGGTGTCAAATCTCAGAGCTCACTTCCATAAAGAAAAAGATCAAACACAGTTATGTGCTTGATTAATATATGCATGTTAAGATATTAAAATAGGTTATTGCCTGCTTTTTGCTTTCACTATTTGCTTTCTTAGTTGCCTTTGCAATGTTTTAATTGTTCTAAATGTTCTTCATCCATTCACTCTTCAACCTGGTTTTATAGGATTATCTTATTTTTAATTGCAGTCCTTTTTTAACAGGAAGTGTTATTTAGCAGAGTCTTATTAACACAAAAATACATTACATCCTCTTTTGAATGTTAATTTATCAAAAACCATATATAGTTAAATTAAATAAATTGCTTTATGGTGGCTCTGTTCTTGATTGGCAATCACCAATAGTCAGTGCCAAAAATAGCAGGGTAACAGCTGATTGAGTAACTTTGATCTACTTTTATGAAATGGTTTATTACATTCTTCATTCTGCATTCTGATTAGAACAACCCACTCGTCTATTTGTTTGAAGATCTTAAATTCTAGGTTTTGATCTTTAGAGTGACACACAGTGCTTTCATCTGATGTAATTAGATATAGTTAGCGGGTGGGCAGCCAAAAACTTCATTAATTCTGCTACTGTTCTGTGAGTCAACAGAGACTTCAGAGCAAGTGCTTCCAGATACTGTGCTGCAATATTTGCTGTCAAATGTGTGTATTAGTAGCCTACCATATTTCTGTTATTTGCTGTTGCAAATAGAACCAGCAGGTGCAAACCTGTTTTAATTAGATTATGAAAACTGGCAAGTCATTTGGAGAGCATTCTGAAGTTACTTCTTGATCCTGAAGGAATTTTGTATGAATTGTCCTTCCACATCACTTCATAGCTTTTCCCAAAGAAATGGTTTAGCAACACTGACTTCAAGGTGATCTAATTTCTCCAGAAACATCATCAGTATTTTTGGTACTTTATCTTTGTTTTTTAATAAAGACTTGTATGCATTCAAAATCCAGTGTTCATAGCTCACAGTCATAGCAGACGTCTGTTTGCTGTGGACTCTTCATTTATTTTGAAGTTTCAGAGCAATATTTTATCAAAAGAACATGGATTCTCTGTATTGGCCTCTGCTAGGTGTCATGCCCTTCTTATGTTGGAGTTTGCTTCTTTCCTATATAGAAATGTTTCATTTTCCTGAATATTAAAGAATGTTACCTTCCTTTTTCATTCCACCTCCCTGTGTCCTGCTGTTTGATGTGCGTAAGCTGTATGACTTTCCTGGGGTTTGTTTTGTCTCTTGCAGCTTCATGCAGGCAAAGTTTGTGCTCTGTTTTTTATCCCTGTTACACTGTCAATAAAAAACCTGTTTCAAGCAGTTTAGTACCTCTAGTTTACAGCTGGTTTCTGCTAGCTCTGCTATATCACACTTTACTGGGGTTTTTTTTCTGGAATTAAAATTCTGATGCTTAACTTATGCTAACTTACTATAGCAAAGCACTGGGCTACTTCTGTAGCACCTCCTCATCACTGTGTTAGGTTTGTAGCCCATAGTATTTACAGAGTTTGTAAAGTCTGTGTCTTGTGGCATAAACAGTTTTTGTTACCCTAAGAACCTAGATCTTTAGGTGGGGGTTTAGTTCTTTTATTTTCCATGCAAGTAAGCAGGTGCGAAGCATCCCACAGAAGTAGGTGGTTTGGGAAAAGTATGGTTTTTTATGTCACATACACTTGTTTATTTTTTAAATTTTTTTTTATCTCCCATATGGTAAAACCTTTGCTCAGTTGTAGTCACTAAAGAGACGAGGGTTCCAACTTGAGTATTGAAAAACTTACCTTTTTAGTACTTCAATATTCAGCATTTTCCTGAAACACTTTAAAATTAAAAATGTACTTTCAAAAATATTTTAATTGTGTTTTGTTGTCTCTTTTGGTCTATAAGTTGCAGAAGAGTCTTGGTTAAAGATATTACAGGAAAAAAAATCAGATTCTTTGTAGACTAATCAAAGAATAATTAGTTTTACATATTAATTACTTGGATAATTTGTGCTCATAAACATTATATTTTTCAGGTTTAAACTCTAACAAAGGACTGCTACATCTGGTCCTACTTCTTGCAGTCGAGGGAATAAATTTTGTTTTGGAAAGTTAATCTTTAAACCATTAGAATGTACTTGTGAGATGTCATATGTGCATCAGTGAAAAGGATAAATACTTAGAATTTAAGGAAGCTAAAGGACTAGAACTTCTGTTCAGTCCTGGATAGGAGTTACATCCATGTATTACCAGTTTTCTTTGTGCTGTGTTGACTTCGTGTGCTACATGAACCATTTTCATTATCAAAAATCAAAAAATGAAAGCATGAATGAGAATTACCAGTTGCCACAGGGTGTGACTGGGGAGGCATTCACGTGAAAGAAGTCAGAGAATGCTGGTTTTTAACTTCCACAAAATGCCATTTCATCTACTCTGTACGTTTTAAGGGAGGCCTTATATAAGTAATTTTATAGAAGATTAAAAGCGGGAGTTTCTATGAAAGAAATAAGAGGGATAATACTTTTTTTTTTAAGTGTGAGATATGATGAACAAGGATGATCTCAGCATTAGTAAAGAGATGGTGTGAAGAAGATGAAAAATATGCATTTGCTAAATACAATCTATTATAATGTCCTTATTTGAGTATACTAATACAATTGTTATCTGGGATGTGTCATTCTTATGAAAACCGAGTTGACAAATAAATGATGTTTTTAACAGGAAGTTCTGAGGTTTGCCTTTTTCTTAGGAGAGTTTTTCTGGAAAAGTGGTTATTTCTTACTCAGTGGGTGACTTCATACTTTGTCATGTATGAGACTAAAATGCAAAGTGAGAAACTAATTTAGACTTCTCTTCAAAAATTTCTTCCATTTTAGGTTTAAGCAAATTACCTTTTCACATTTCTTCTTTTGAGCAGACTAGTCACACCTGTTACACCTCACTTTGTGTTTGCTAGGAAGCTGTGTTGGCTTGTACTGAGAAGAGAATATTGTAGCATGACTAGGCTCAGGATAGGGTAGTGCTTATTGCCACAACAGATAATAAACTGATGGTCATTTACTTTTTAGAACATTACGGTAGCCTGAGCTACTGCAAGTCACAGTGTATACAACCAAAACAGCAGAAGCAGTTTCAAAGTGGTGCTTCAACCCCTTACCTATTCCCTGGAGGAACTCTTAGCAGAATTGGTTGAATAGATTACAGCTGCCTGCCTTCAACCTCCCAAGAGCATTTTACATGCTGACAACGTTAAAACATCCACCTAAATTGTTACCACTGACTTAAGTTTCTGCCATTCCAGGGGAGTTGGCTTCCAAAGTGAGCAGCTGGCAAAGTGGCCAAATATTCAAGGAAAAGACATTTGTGGGCAGAATCCCTCTCTGGGGGGTTGGCACCAGATGAATCACAAACATGCACAGGCATGTTTGTTCAGCATCTGCTAAAGCAAACTAGTCATCTTTTCTGTTCTCTGGAGCATACCTGGGTTTAGAATTCTCAAATTAACTCTTGATCTGCATGCAAAAATGCAGATCTGTTTCAGATAAGAGGTGTAGGCCAACTTGAACAGCAGCAGGTGCACATAGTTCTATGTCTTGCAGGCAGTTTTTAATAAGTACAAAATCCTCAGCTGCATACCTCTCTGATCTTGGGGCTCCTAAGAGAACAAACTGGTGCAAAGTATGATAAAGTTAGCCAGTTTGCTACTATTCATCTCATATCTGTCTACTTTGAGGAACATATTTCAGGGATATTTCAGGGAGGAAAAAGGTTATCAGTCTTGTAAATGCTCTGCATTAGGCTATATTTGAAGGCCTGTAATGGGAAATGAAACATGTTGGAGTAGCTTGGGAGAGTGAGAAGCTGACTCTTCTCTCTTCTGCCATTTTCTGTATTTATTGCAATCTTTGAACTTCTTGACTGCAGAACTGGCAATTTTCATTAATGTGACCAGAGCATCCTGTCATGTTCCCTAGCTTTTAGTCACTTGCCAGTAGCTGGTGTGCCATCTTGTTTAAAGCCCTTACCTAAACAGACCTTCAGGACACACTGTGCCAAGGAAATAATCCTAGATAGCATCTCCAGATTGTGCAATTGGCAGGGATACCTCTGTTGCAATAACTGTGTCAAGGATAATCCTTGGAGATGCCTTAATGGGAAAAATTCACATGTTACAGGTCCAGTAGAAGTCGTCAGGTACCCAATTCCCTAACAAGATTGTTTGCTTACTCTCTTCTGTAGTTCTTTGTGGCCTGAAGACAGGGTGCAGAAAGGATCAGGGTTTTCTGCCTAGAGCCAGGGCACTCCCTGGGGATAGGTCCCTAGGAGAGTGCTTGTTGCAGCAGGCAAAGACAGTAAATTGCATCTGTTGCAGTACTGCCTCTTACATGGGAATATGTATTACCTCAATACTTGCAAAGAGTGTTGAAGCTTGTCCTGTTCTATTGAGATCTACTGCCTGTTATACGGTTACTCTGAATGAATTCTCTCCTATTGTACCCAGTTTTGATACAGTCTTTTAGTCATGGTTGTGCATGGTGCAGTAAGGGACAACAGGCTTGGTGTTCTGGGTGTTGACAGATGTCCAGTTTGTCACTGGTGATCTTCATCTTAATTTCGGATGCATTAAAACACAACAGAAACTGCAAACATACTATGTGGGAGGCAATTATCTGGATAGAGATGCATGACTTATGACAAGGCATAAGAAGCAGTGTGCATAACGCAGACCTAGGGCTCATTAAGTTTTTCTTAAAATGCTTTTGTGCCTGTTTGCACTTAAATAGGGAAGTTTCTCATGGGTGACTACCATAGCCGCTAAACAGTCTCTTTGTAATTAATAAAAGCTTATATGATGTATGTGCAGTACTTATTGATAACTTCTAACTTCAGCCTCTTTTGATGCAGGCTGCTACCAAAGATTGTGGATTCCATGGATTGTTCCACCTAATAGTCCATGGTTCAAAGACAGAGAACAAATAATGACCATTGCTTCAGGATACTTTTCATAAATGCTCTAACATCTCCATGACTGCTACGCTACCAATAATAACAACCTATCTCTGATGTATTTTGTATTAAAAAGGATAAGAATAAGGCAAAACTGGAGACAGGTGCTGAACACCAGAATTAGAGCTTTGGAGGAATGTGGCTGCTGGATAGACAACATGAGGATTTCAGAGGGCCTGTTGTATGCAAAAACTGTACACTCCTGTTTGTTCTGTATACTGAGGACAGAATGGTCCATGTGGTGTGTGGTATTTCTTCTCCAAAAGCAATGCTTGAATGGCCAGAGCATGCTGTAGGTGCAAGCATGAGATGGGCAATTAGCCAAGTGGCACAGCTTCTATTACACATGTTGTGGAAAACAGGGTAACAGTTCAGTTGTGTTTGGCTGGTTGCCTCCAGGTTTAAGCAAGCTGGCCATTGCAGAAGATATAGATGGACCTGCAACATGCTGTCTCTTGCATCCTTTCACAATTCCTGTGACTGATGGCAGCAACAGCAGTCACCCTGTAACAATTTCAAAGGTGGTAGAGTGGCAAGGCACAAAAAAGTGCAGGTTGCTCATTGCATCATTGCTTAGTGCCACAAAACCCAGCTTCATAAAAATATAAATTGATCCAAGAAAAACTGGTGCATTATCCATGCTTGCAGAACCAATATAGATATCGGGACATGGAGATTAGAAGTATGAAGAAAATGGCACTTGGAAGTTTTTCACATACACAGCAAAACAGCTTTTGCTGCAGAAATGCAAAATGCATTAGTCATTAAGAATAGATACTGCACATTTCCAGTCACCTACAGCTATTCCTGGAAATACACAACAGGATCAAAAAAGAAATAACATTCAAGCTGTGAAATACTTTACTGAAATGTCTCAAGATTTTAAAGGAAATTAAAAGATTGTAACAATCAAACTCAACTCTTGCCGAATGTAAGAATAAAACAGTTTGGTAATTCTTAAAATTAGCTCCACTAATTAATTTGCAGGCATAAAACTCTCTTAAGATACCTATGATTGTGAGAAGTTGCTTTTCACAATGAAATGGTTTGTTCTTATACCTAAGCTATTACTTTAACTCATGCTTTAGAGAGGTTGTTGGGGGACATTCAAGGAAAAGCATGTAACTGCTTTTCCATTATTACAGAGAGACACTGCTTGCTTTCTCAGGAACTGCTTATGAGCATGATGTTTTAGATCTACTTGTTGAAGCAGAACATTTATTTTTTGGTAAAAGCATTAATTTTATTATAAAATATATTAAGTATTAATTTTATTTTAAAATATATTAACAACGGTGACTGTTAATATTGTCCTTGCTTTTTTTCGTTCTCTTGTAAGACCTTATGGAATGGATAAAAATTTTAATTCTATTACAGAAGTAAAACCCTTTTTGGCATTTTGTAAGTCAATGATGATATTCTGTTAGTGGCTGCCTTTTCAGTAATGTGGTGGTCTAAATTCTGAATTCTATTATTTTACATCTGCAGCAACTGAAAGTATATTTTTTTATAAACAGCAAACTTCACCTCATAAAAATTCATTACATAAGGGCATAAACAAGTACTTTTCCTTGCAGTCATTGGCAGTAAGTGATTCATCAGTTTTCCACAGAAAACCAATTTCATTGCAGATGTTCTGCAGACTCCCTGAATTGTAGAATCATCTCATCCAATCCCAGCACAAGGAATGTAGGAATTTTTTTAAAGGGTGGAAAAAAGGCTGTGCTTAGTCTTTTTAATAGGATTGAATATCATTTGCTGTCTCATCAGTTTTGTGAAATAACCATAAAGTAATCAGCTTGCCATTCTTTCCTTCCCTGTACAGGCTATCAACTTACTCACAATGCTGATTTCATAGCAAGTGCATAAGTGAATAAGTTGCAGGAGAGCAAAATCTTCCTTTGAGGTTAAACAAAATGTAACTGGGTTACATAGTTGTCTCTCCTTCTTTTCTTCATTCTTTCTGTTCTCCTTAATTTCTTTTTCCTTGCTTTTTTCATTCCTTTCTTCCATTCTTTCCTTCTTGTTTTATACTTCAAAATATAGAACTTTCCCATAGTAATCAGCCACTAATTATCATTGTCCAACAAACTTGCCCTTTTTCTTCCTGATTTTTTTTTTAAATTAGAGTTTATTTTTCTAAGAACCAGTAATTAACTGGTTAATTCAATTCTGTTTTTTCACAATGAGCCAGAAATAAAGGATAGACCTAAAAACTACTTCTTGCTAGTGTGTGCAATTTTGTTTAATTCTGTTCTGTATAACATATATAATCCACCCTACTATATTTCCACTGCATTAACTTATGTAGACACAAAATTCAATTCTGATAGCTGAAGGATGAAAAGGAGACAAAGGAATATATTAAGATGAAAGTGAAAATGTATGGAGAAAGTTTGAAGAAGAGAAACCAGAAAAGTAGCTGGCAATCAGCAGGAATGAGAAAGAGATTTTTTTTCCAGGAGAAGGAATTAATTTTATTGATATCTCCAAGAGGGTGTTGAATTTAGTCCATAGAGAAGAAGCTGATAGTACTAAAATGCACATTTAGTAAATGTTCATTACAGCTTTAAGTCTTTCTGTAACTCTTCTATTTCCCATTTTGTTTTCTCCGTTGGTACTGTTCTTAACATAGTTTAGAGAGAACATTCCTCCAAACCTGTAAATCAGTTAACTAAAACTGACAAGATCCAGTCTAGAATCATAAAATTAAAGAATTGTTTAATTTGTAAAAGACCTCTAAGATCATCAAATCCAACCGTTGTCCTACCACTGTCAAGTCCACCACCAAACCACATCCCCAGGTACCACATCTATAGGTATTTTATATATCTCCAGGATGATGACTCAACCACTTCCATGGCAGCCTGTTCCAATGCTTGACAATCTTTTGCATAAAGAAGTTTTTCCTAATACGCAATCCAAGCCTCTCCCGGTGCAACGTGAGGCCAGGTCCTCATATCCTATCACTTGTTGTTCAGACAAAGAAACTACCCCTACATCCCACCTCGCCACAGCTTCCTTTTAGGGAGTTGCTGAGATCAAAAAGTTCCCCCCTGAATTTCCTATCCCTCAGACTATACAACCCCAGCTTCCTCAGCCGCTCCTCATAAGACTTGGGCTCCAGACACCTCACCAGCCCTGCTGCCTTTCTCTGGACACACTCCAGCACCTCAATGTCTTTTTTGTAGTGAAGGGCTCAAAATTGAGTGTAGGACTTGAGGTGTGGCTTCACCAGTTCCAAACACAGGGCAATGATCACTGCCTTTGTCCTCCTGGCCACGCTCTTCCTGCTATAAGCCAGGATGGCATTGGCCTTCTTGGTCAGTCAGGCACACTGCTGGCTCATGTTCAGCCAGCTGTCACTTGTCACCAGAGAGAAGAGATTGGTGCCTGTCCCTTAACTCTCCCTTCAGTGTCAGCTTCTCCAGCCTGAACAGACCAAGTGACCTCAGCTGCTCCTCAAGGCTCTTCACCATCTTTTTTGCCCTCCTTTGGATACTCTTTAACAGCTTAATGTCTTTCTCATATTCTAGCACCCAAACTTACACGCAGGACTCAAGGTGAGGCTGCATCAGCAGGTAGGATAAGGTCAAACGGGACCTGCCTGTTACAAATGCTTGCTGGATCAGCCTGATGCTCTGATTGTCCTGCATGTGCCATGTGATGGCACTCAAGATGATCAGCTCCATGATCTTCCCTGGCACTGAGGTCAAGCTGACAGACCTGTAGTTCCCCAGGTCCCTTTTCTGTCCCTTCTTGGAGATGTGTCACATTTGCCAACCTCCACTGAACAGGGACCTCCCTGAATCCAGAAATGCTGGTAAATGATTGAAAGTGTTTCAATGCACATTTCCTTATCTTGTATGTATAATGCCTTATCTTGTATCTGTAGACAAAAAAATAGTATGTAATTCGATGTTGAAAATGAATGGTGAAAGTCCTAAAAAAGAAGCCTTTGTTCAAAGTTCGAGAAAACAAAAATACAGATCCAACTGACTTTTTTTGACCAGATCAGATACAGGAGTTCAACATTTAACAGGAGTGCAACATTTAACAGCTATGCTATACTACATCAGAAACTGAACCTGTCTGGGTTTTTTGGTACTCTGGCCAGTATACATGGCACAGTTCCCATCTGTGTTAGTAAATTCACTACCCATCATAAAAAGATGGCTTTAAATGCTTGAGCCCAACTGAGTGTATTTATGTCTATAAACAACCACAGAGAGTTAATTTCTAAGTAATTTCAAATGGTAAGTATTCTCCATGTATTGCAAGTATTCTCAGATTGTCCAGTGTCACTGAGCTCAATAGTAGATAAAAACAGACAGAATGCATGCTGCCTTCTTCCACTAACCCCCACTAAAAAAAAAAAAAAAAAAAAAAAAAAACAGAAGAATAAAGAAAACAAAAAAATGGCATCCGTTTACAAAAAAAAAGAAAAACAAACAGTAGAATTAAGGAATCATAAAAGTAGCATCAGTTTCAACTTTGACATCATTGGTGCTGCAGAAGGATCTGTGGGTACCCCAGCATGCTCTCTACTTCTTTATTGCTTCTCCAGTTCATTTCTTTCCCAGGCAGAATCCATGCATGGTTTCCCTCCTGTGACTGTTAGAATAAGCAAAGGAGCTCAAACTGCCCATATTTCCAGGCTAGAATCCATGGTTTCTTAAAAACAGTGCCACAGAAATAGTCTCTTCATTCCCATTCACGTTCTTTCTCTGCAAAGACAATGGGGCAAAGCCTAGACTGGGTTTAAGCATGACTTAAGAGCCTGTCTCCTAGGCTCTTTCTGTCTAAACTTATATCTGGCTTCAAACCACACAGGACTATGATGTTGGCTGTCTCAACAAAGAAAAAAATAATTTGTCATATCTCCTAGAGGATAGTGCACTCAGGCTATCTGTATTTGCCCTATTCATATTTAGAAACAAAAGCTTGAGCCCATACTAAAGCCTATGCAGGCTTTCACTTCTTCAAAAATCTACAGAATTTTTCCTGCATGTCTGTATTAAATAGTGTTGTAAACAATATGGATGACTAGCAAATTTAAATTCAAGAACAGGATCAGATTCTTAATTTCACAGCTTTTTTACATAGAAAGGATGAACACTGATGTTGTCATTAGTCCTGCTTTCTTCTTGTGTATCCATAAAGATGGAGCTATGGAGTAAGTGCAAACAGCACAAACAGATCTGTTCAGCCCTAAATTCAAGTGTGGTGAAAAATGAGAAATTGCACCCTGATAGCAAGGAAGAATGGGTTTCTTCATATGTAAGTTTTTACACATATAAAGATATATGGTGGTTTATGAACTATTATTTTTAAGATCTACTCTTGTAGAATTACAGGCTTCCCTCTTCTGAAAGCAGTGCAGCTGTCCCACAGGGTGCCAGAGATTGTAAGATCAGGCACCTAAGGAGAAGAGTTTACACAATTTTGTAAGAATGAGCTGTGACAGAACAAGAAAATATGTTCCAGGAGAAAAAAAAAACTATAGATATATGGACAAAATAAAAAGAAGAGGAAGTAATTTCAGAGAAAAGCTTAAGGAGGACTTGGAAAAGGAGAAGGCACTTGGCAACTGGGGACAAGAAAATTTACCTCATGCAGCCACTTGGATTGAGGAGAGCAGCATGTAAAATGAAGAAAAGTTGATTCTTACTGAGGTATTGAAAAAACCTTTTGAATTAAGTTTTTCCGTTAAGATGCCTTGCTGGAGTTTTCTGTGTGAGAAACAATCATCCTGCTAACTGCAGGCTCCAAGTGAATATGGGGTTTATGTGGGAAAAGATTTTTCTTTCTATGATATAGGTTACACTGACATGTAGAATGGAAGTTTAATACTGTACTTCATCATTAGTCCAATGAAATTACAGATATCAGCTCCTTTAACAAATTAAAGTTATACCACATTGAGAAAAGGATTAAACCACATGCAGAATTAGGGTTATCTTCACTCCTTTCTGGCCGTAGACCATAGAAATTAAAAGGACACGTTGGAGAAAGTTGCTAGGAGACTGTAATCACAAGTGTCAGAATAATACATTTTTATTTAAAATAGGAAATGTTGATTAATGAACATACTTAACAGATAATGAGTAAAGGTATTGAAAGCATCTATGTTCAATCAAATTTCAGGTGAAACATTTAATTTATATGTTGAAAAGCCATTGAGAATTGAAAGTATTCAAGGTAAAGCTAACCAAGTCAAGCAGTTAAAACTGAAGGACACGACAATTTCAGGAGTACTTGATTAGAAGCCTCTAGATACTAAGAAGCAAGAGAAAATGTTTCCAGTGTGTAAACCCAATAAGTGTAAAACCAAAGAACAAAAGAGGAAATTATTTAGGTTTTAGAGTCTCATGTAGGCATGTTGTAGAAACTAAGGTAAGATGGACAACTGCTTTGGAAGCAGTGAGTTGATTTAAAGGTAAGATACTGGAGAAGATGTTGTATATGTAGCACATTAAAATGAGAGAAAACTAAGCAATAAATTAAATTAAAGGTAAAGCAACTTCAGCCTAAATGAAAAGGTAACTTTTTAAAGCATAAACAAAAGGGTCCTAGGATTTATTATGGCAAAACCTCCAGTGTCCACATGTTGACTTCATTTGTGTCAATTTAAACAGGTATTACACCCTGAAAACACTAGCATGATATTTTGCACGCAAGATTTATTATCCTTTGGATCTTGGAACCAGGAGTCCAAGTTTGTTACATAGCTTGGAATCTAAAACTATGAGACACTGGCTCTCCTCTCTCACGTTGAGGTGTAAGTGGTAATGCATAATAAGCAGTTTACTGTGATGACCATCTCAGCTTCAGGAACATAGAATGGGTTGTGTCCTTATTGATTCATGTCAGTGTCAAGGAAACCAGTCAACGAGATTGTCCATCTAAACCAAGTAAAATAATTTGACTGCCAGGAAGAAATTGCTTCCTATATGTCTATAGACACCTGCAGAAGACAGGAAATGACATACTGGTCCAATGTCTGACTGCTGATCACTCAGCCTACTAGTAACAACAAAATCTTATGCTAGATACAAATCTTGCTAAGTCTTCTGGGAAAAAAGTCTATAGTAACAGAACAGGAGTCACAAAATGCTCTTGAAATAATGGTAGTTTGAAATAAACATTCCATCTTAAATGTAGAATAATCATATAGTAATAAAGTATTTCTATGGTGGTTTTACATGATAAATAATAAATCTAGACATTTCTTTTTACCAAGCCATCACTTCACTAATTCTAACCTAACTATTTCTAATGAAGTATTGTATGAATATCTTTATATCTAAATACTTATTATTTCTAATAAGCAAGAGTAGCTGCATGCAATGAAAAAATAGTCATGCCTAAAACAAATTGCAGGAAAAATACATTTTTGGTGATGTTAGCTGAAATGGCAGCTTATACAGAGACAGTGTAATTTGAAAGAGTGTTTCATTTCATAAAAAAGAAAATTAAAGCTACTTTAATAATCAGTTCCAATTTGAGGAAGAATATAAGAAACACAATGTACAACTGATAGTTTGTCCACTATCCAGTAAAATAATACAGTTAGGAAAAAAATATTCTGCTAATTTGTAATGGAGAACAGCAAATGTGCCTTATGTGTACAGAAAAAAAAAAGACTGTAGCAATAGTTTGTACATCTGAAGTTTATAGATGCTTCCATTAACAGTTCCAAGCCTTTTTGCTTTTTACTTAACCGTTTTATTTCTGATCTGAATAAGGGCTCCTGGGCAAATGGGAAAGGGCTGACACTACAGATTCCTCTCTTGAACTGTGCTTTTATCACCTACCAGAAAGAAAAGTGAATAATAAAAAAATTACTGTTTATTATTTTATGAGAGAAATTAAAAACAATACCAAAACATATTTGTTTGAACTCTGATAGTATCACTATTTAGTCATCTTTATATGGTATGATATTATTCTGGATTGCTTATTTTGTTTCTATTCCAATTTAATTTAACACAGTCTTGAATCTGTATATTAGTTAATGAATCCAAACTCACCAGAATTACAACATGAATAAGCGCCAACAACTAGCAAAAATAATGAATTTCTATTGTGTAAAGGAAAAAACAAAGTAAAACTCTGTATAAATTATTGCACTCTCTTTCCTCCTGCACCTTAGATGACTTATTTGCTGAAATACTGAGTTTCTGCTGAAATGCAGTTTCCTCTTTTCAGAAACCTTGGGGCAGCAATTACTGGATAAATTTGTTGTTTAAATCATAGTTATCATATGGGGTCGGAAAACAGATATGTAGAAATTAATAGTTTCCTAGGAACATATGAGGGAGAACTTATTTTAAACTTTATATTCACAAAGAAAAGACTAAATAATAAATAAATGTAATTAGTTCTCAAACAGAAACAATGAGGCTCTATTAATATGTTCACAAAAGTACTTCAGCACCTAAATCCAAGAGAATGATCCAGTATTAGGATGGACTATGTTGGCACCCTGCTTTCTACCAATAATGTTATTACTACTGCAAATTTCTTAGCTATGTCTTAGTCTGGTACTATGCACATCCCAAAGAACCGCTGCTTGGGGAGAGCAGAGCATGACAATGTCCAGCTTGTGTCTAGGAGAATTTGGGGTTTATAAAGCAACCATCCTATCACCTGTGTCTCCTGAAAGGTGTGTTTCAGCAATCAGCCACCAGGATCCCAAAACATGCATTGACAACTGTCACATACGAAACACAGAAAGAGGCAGTAAGAGATGCACCTGCCTATATCCATATTTTTAATAGAACAACAGGTAGAAGTGAGAGATTTGCTTTCTGTAATGGAATTTCAACTCACACATGCCTGTGAGGAGACAGCACCAGCTTTAGATAAGGCTGCAGGAGAGACAGCAGTCAAAGATGCAAGAGTTTATAGCATCTAGATGTGTTCTTTTAATTATCTGTTTCTTTTCTGTGTATGTTCATCACTGTGCTTTCCACTGGGAGAAAGTTATCCCTTTTTTTTCAACTAAAAAGGTAACAAAGTAATAAATTTGCAGAACTACTTTGTCAATTAATATATCTTCTTCCTTCTTCTTCTGTTCATTGCTTGTTCTCTATCTTCTTGGAGTTCAACCTTTGGGAGATACTGAAGACCAGCTTCCACAGATGTCAAGGAAAACTGAGTCAACAATAAGATATGATGGCATTTGATGCATTGTTAAATGTAGTAATTTCTGCACTTGTCTTATTTCTTCTTCATTTTTATCTACTGGACCTAAATTATATTCAATTGCATAATTTCCAAATTATTTTAAAGTTCACCACAAATGGTAAGATTTTATTTTACTGTGTGCTAATAAAAATTACACTTTTTTGTGCCTTTATATTCAAATCTGAGAAATGACACAAGACAA